GGAGGAAGGAAGGAGGGAAGGGAGAGAGGAAGGCATGTGGGTGAATTGACAGATGTATGAATCTATCTATGGGTGGGTGAGCGGATGACTAGATATAGGGGTAGGGGAGGACTGAACAACGCAGGCAAGGGATAGGTGGACAGACAATTAAGTGACTGGGATATTTTTTGGCCCCAAGTCTAGGAGAGGCCCCGTGGAGGCTGCAGCAAGGCTCCCCTCTAACCTCCAGGAGGTTGAAGGCACGGTCCATGATGTGGATGGTCAGGTTGACCATGGCGGAACGGGGAAGAAAGGAGACAGGAGAGAAGAGAAGAGTCCCCTCCAAGTTGGCTCCCAGGTTGCCAGACGCTAGGAGTAAGAAAAAACATCAGTACATTCTGTGCACTCACAGAGCGGGGTCTGGCTACTACCACGGGGCCATACCCTGACACAGGGTCAGACACCGGATGCGTCTTCTCGCCCCTCCCTGGCCAAGATGGGAAACAGCCTTAAGCCTTTGCAAGAAGAGAGGGAGGCTGGGACAGAGGGTCACACCCACCCACCTCTGCTGACAGGCAGAGAGGAGGTGCCCAGAGCACCCCAGCCCCGACCCCCGACCCCCAGGCTTCCCAGAAAAGCTGAGGCAGTTTAGGGGACTTTAGCTAGCAAGAGATTCCCTTTTTGATTTTCTATTTAATTACAACAAAGAGGCAGTCTCAGTGTGGGCTAAGCTCTCTTCTTAACGTAGGGAAAACAGTCCTAAAAATTCACAGCCTTCAGGAAGCCACAGAATCCTGGACAATTTAATAACATAGTGTTTCCACCAGGCGCAGTGGCTCATGCCTGTAATTCCAGCAGTCTGGGAGGCTGAGGTGGGCAGATCACTTGAGGCCAGGGGTTTGAGACCAGCCTGGCCAGCATGGTGAAACCCCGTCTCTACTAACAAAAATACAAAAATTAGCCAGGCATGGTGGTGCACACCTGGAGTTCCGGCTATTCAAGAGGCTGAGGCAGGAGAATCACCTGAACCTGGGAGGCAGAGGTTGCAGTGAGCTGAGATCGCACCACTGTACTCCAGCCTGGGCGACAGGGCGAGACTCCATGCCAAAAAAAAAAAAAAAAAAAGCTGTGTTTTATTACCCGCCTCTGGGTGTACAGTATTTCTTTTTAGGAGTACCTTCTCTCTACAGGGAGTTAAATTGATTTTCTATTAATGGTACTGATAAATTTTTTAACATAATATAAATTACAAAGAGCCAATTTAAAGAAAAGATGAAAGTATTCAGTCGAATGCCATAAAATAATAGGTAAGACTTTTCTCTTCCAACAAAAGCAGCAGGTGCTATTGAAATATGGCAAAACAAATTTTTGAACAAGCAGCATGTAAGTTTTTTTTGAGACAGGGTCTCACTCTGTCACCGAGGCTGGAGTGCAGTGGTGCGATCATGACTCACTGCAGACTCGACCTCCTGGGCTCAAGCAATCCTCCTGCCTTAGCCTCCCAAAGCGCTTGGGTGAGCACTTCGGGTTTCAGCCACCACACCCGACTGGCATGTAAACATTTGACCCTTTGACACAACATCTGATCCATATGCTGTCGGGAGCTGGGGCTCCAGGGTCCCCCAGCCTTTGTGTTCCCAGACCAGGACAGGGGCTGCCAGAATGGCCATACCTGAGCGGAAGGTGACATCAGAATAGGATGAGTGTTTCCACATTTCCGGGTGGAACTCCTGGCTGAGGATGTCCTCAGGGAGGGTGTCCCGGAGGGCTTGTTTCAGGGGGTCGTGCGTCTCCAGCAGCTGCAAGAGGTGACTCCACACAAAAGAACCCACTGGAATAGAGTCGTGGCCAGCGGGGAGGGGCCATCAGGAAAGTGCCAGGAATGCTGTCCAGAGCAAAGGCCCTCCCGACCCCCGATGCAGTCCTGCAATTCCCACACACGGGGGCTTCTCAGGAGCCTGCCTATGGAGACCTATGTCTGCTCTCAAGAAAGAGCAGCAATGAAGAGTCATGCCTGAACAGAACTTGGAAATTCAGCCCATGCATGGAACTCTGACGCTTTCCAGAAGACAAAGGAAGGTATTACAGGCTCGAAAGTCAGACCTGAGTCTGGGCCGGGCGCGGTGGCTCATGTCTGTAATCCTAGCACTTTGGGAGGCCAAGGTGGGTGGATCACGAGGTCAAGAGATCCAGACCATCCTGGCCAACATGGTGAAACCCCGTCTCTACTAAAAATACAAAAATTAGCTGGGTGTGGTGGCGCATGCCTGTAGTCCCATCTACTCGAGAGGCTGAGGCACAACAATCACTTGAACCTGGGAGGCGGAGGTTGCAGTGAGCCGAAATCACACCACTCTCTCCAGCCTGGCGACAGAGCGAGACTGCGTCTTTAAAAAAAAAAAAAAGCTGTGTGACCTCAGGGTGGTCCCTCTGTCTCTCTCAGCCTCAGTTTCCTTATCCGTGAAAATGGGAAGTCAGATCTGACTTCAAATCCTGGTTTCACCATGTACCAGTGTTTCCTGAGACGGTCACGCCAAGCTCTTGGAACCATAGTTTTCTCATGTGAAAAAGGAACTAACAAAGTACCTCACAGGGCTTTTTGGGAAGATCAGTTAAAGGCAGAGCCTGGACCTAGAAGACTAAGTATGTTTCAGGATTGACTGGTAAAGTGTGACATGTGATCCATGAGGGTCCCTGGAGGGACAAAGACCAGATGAGAGCCTCATGCGACTGAGTCCAACGGTGAGTATTAGAGTCCTGCAGGGAACCCCCAACCCTCGCCATTGTCCCAGGCTCTCAGAAGGTCCAGCCAGGGGCTTCTGGAACAATATATCACAGAATAGAGCAGAATACGGGTTTTTAGGCATAAGGTGTCCACTCATTCCCACTGGGCAATACGTCAGGTGGTACCCCAGGGCCACTGTGGAGGCTGAGCCCCTTGGCTGATCCCAAGGAGGGGTGTAGCACACTTCATACCCCATACCTGAAATTGCCAACAGAGACAGCTGTGTCTTTGAATAGTGCCATCTCTTCAGAAGGTAATTCAACAACATCATATCAGACTTTTCAACGTGCATACCCTTTGCCTTGGCAACTTATCTTCTGGGAAATTATCCTAAAGTGAGATTAACTCAAGGGCCAAAGGTAGCTGCGCAGGAAGATTTGTGGCTGTTGTTTCTAATGGCAGAAGACCAGAAACAGCCTAAATGCCTATCAGTGGAGACTGGTAAAATGGATTACGGTACAAACATCCAGCAGAACACCGACACAGCCATAGATGAGAATGTATAAGTACCATAGATGAGAGATGAGCTCCCAGGCATGTTGAAGCCAAAAGGAGCAGGCTGGGCCCAGTGGCTATCACCTGCCATCCCAAGCACTTTGGGAGGCTAGGCTGGACGGATCACCTGAGGTCAGGAGTTCCAGACCAGCCTGGCCAACATGGCAAAACCGTCCCTACTAAAAAAAATACAGAAGTTAGCCTGGCATGGTGGCATATGCCTGTAATCCCGGCTACTCAAGACGCTGAACCAGGGGAATTGCTTGAAACCAGGAGGTGTTGCAGTGAACTGAGATTGTGCCACTGCACTCCAGCCTGGGTGACAGAGTGAGACTCTGTTTAAAAAAAAAAAAAAAAAAAAAAAAAAAAAAAAAAAAAAAAAAAAAAAAAAAAAAAAAAAAGAGCACAACAGCAAGTAGAACATGATCCTGAGATGCTGTTGTTAAGGAGATACATGAGTATGTTCATCTATGTATTACAAGTTCTGATGTGATACACAGGAGAATTTGGTGATGGTTCTAATGGCAAAAGACCAGAAACAGCCTAAACCCGAATCAGGTCCCATGGGGGACCTGGTTCACAGTGAGTATCTTCAGGACACAGGAAGATATTGGGGGGAAGAGGAAAGAGGACTAAATTTTCTCATTTGTCCCTTGCCTATGCTTTAAAATTTTCACCATGTAGCTATACTGCATTAATAATAGCAGCAGTGGTGATAACAACATTAAAAGCAACAGTCACACATATGGCACTTACTATGTGTTCTAAATGCCTTTGTGTATTAACTCATTTTATGCTTGCATCACTATGAGGGAGGTATTAGCATTATCCCTATTTTATAGGTACAGAAATGGAGGCTCATGAAGGTTTCCTTACTTGTCCCAAGGCATACAGGAAGGAAGTGGTGAAGCTGGGATTTGAACCTGGGCTCTCAGGTTCCAACCTCTCACCCCACTGTATATTACGGAAATTTTTTTAACAATCAGTTGAACTTATTTTTTTGAATTTACATCTTTGGGTTCAGGTGTTAGTATAAAGGGAATTGTCTCCTTCCATAAGAGGTCTCAGATTTGCAGATGCTGTCCCTCTTCTTAGGTCTCCCTTTAGATACTGTATCATGATCTGGCCAGAGCTAAAAGAGTGACTGACTCCCATCCCATTTTAGAGATGAGGAAACTGAGGAACAGAGAGGAGAAGTAACTTCTTCAAAGTCATCCAGCAGCAGAATGGGGACTGGAATTGCCATGTAGGGGAAGGAGGAATACACAGCCCCTCATCTAGACAGTATGGTAGAGAAACAGGGGGACAAGAATACAGAAGGATGCCAGAGGCGTGGAGGATGAGGATGCTCTCAAAACCCCTGCACTCTCCAGGAGATGCCCTATCAGCCCACCCCTGCCTGCCCACACCCCTCCCACACACACATCCATGGCTCACCCTGGGTGGACAGCTCGCCTGCCTGGGTGCGCCGCACCTGAGCAAACACCTCTTCACTGGGGCATCTCATCAGGGCCAGGTAGGCATTGATACGGATCTCAACATCCTCCTCCGGGGATTGGTACAGATGGGAGAGCGCTGATCGCTGGCTTGGGCAGAAGGCAGGCCATCACCAAAGGCCCACCTACCTCCCCCCAGGAGGATGATGTCCCTGGCTCCAGCAGGTGAACATGCTGCCTAGCCCCAGCTATGCTGATATCCCCACCGTAGGAGGCTTCCCTGACACACTGTCACCTGTGGCCCAGTTGTGGGAGGTAGCAGGAGTTCACTGACCATGTCTAATTCCCAGTCTCTACCAGCCCCAGCCTAGCGCCTCATCAACTCCCCAACAAATGGGCATGGCTACAATCCAATAAAACTATTTACAAAGACAGCACAGTGTCTTGCCACACGGGAGGTCTTTAAATGTCTCGTCATTACTGGGTCCCTTCCTAACAAGCCACCTCCCCATACTGTGACTCCCTCAACACCTACTGGCTGCCTCCACAATCAGCTACCCACCCACCCACCGTCCTACCCACTCATCTATTCATTCACCCATCTACCCATCCGTCTACCCACCCACCTATCATCCATCCACCCACCCATTCATCCATGTAACAAATATTAACAAAGCAGCAACTGTGCACTCAGCACTGTGCTAAGTGACAGCCATAAGCAAGTCCAACCCAGCCCCTGTACACCTGAAGCTGGCATTCTAGTGCAGGGAGACAATCAATGAGATTAGCATGTGAAATATGTAAAAAGTTAGGTGGTAATAAACCCTATGGAGGGAAAAATGAAATGGGGAAACAGAACCAGAGCCCTGGGGGAACTGGGAGGTTCAATTTCAAGTGAAATTGTCAAGGGAGACTGCACAGTGAAAGTGACTTTTAAGCTAAGACCTACAGGAGGTGAAAAAGAAAGGGACATCTAGGGGAAAAGTGTACCAGGAAAGGGGACAGCATGTCCAATGGGCCTGGGGCAAGAGAGGGTCACAAGTGTTTGCGGAAGAATAGAAAGAGGAATGTGCTGCGGAGGAGGGGTGAGAAGTGACAGGAGCAGGTGAGGCCCAGAGGTCAGTCCCTCAGGGGCTGGGAGGTCAATGAAGGGATGGTGACTTTGACTCTGAGTAAGAAAGAAGGTACTGGCCCAGGGATTAGCAAATTTCTTCTGTAAAGGGACAGCAAACTCTCAGATTCTGCAAGCCATTCAGTCTCTTGCAGTGACTCAGCTCTGCAGGTGAAGCAGGAAAGCAGCCATAGACAGCACATAAGTGAGCATGGCTGTGTTCTAATAAAACTTTATTGACAAAAACAGACAAAGAGGGCCATGAAGTGGCCCATGGCCCATAGTCTGACAAACCCTGTACTAGAGGAAGCATGGATGGCATTGGTAATTATACGGTTATTTGTGCATTTGATGAATAATCTGCTTCCCACACTAGACACAGGCTTAGACCTGGATACCTGCTCACACTAATACCCAGCCCAAAGTAGGTGCTCATTAAACACATGATAAGTGAATGAACAATTGAAGAAGTGAATTAGCAAATGGTGGTTAGAGATCCACCACCACCCAACGCCACCCAGTGAAACACGCAAGGGCTCACGTTTGCAGAGCAGGGGACCCTCCGGAAGGCCTGAATGGCACCCAGCCGGATCTCGGGGGTGCTGCTTCGCAGAGACGCACAGGCACTGAGTGTGGGGGTGAGAGCCATGGCTGCCAAGCCCGCGTTGCCGATTGCCTTCAGCACAAGCTGGAGCTAAATCAAGATGGAGTCAGGACCACGAGGCGCAGTGGCAGGGCAGGGCAGGGGGATGGGGAGGATGGTGGAATGGGAGGGAGAAGAGGGCAGGCATAAAAGGGGGTGGGGGAAAAGGGACAGGGGGAATGGGGGAATGGGAGCAGGGGAGAAAGGGGGGACAGGAGGAATGGGGGCATGGGGAATGGGGTAATCGGGGTAGGGAGGAATGGGGAGAATAGGGGAACAAGGGGCAGGGGGAATGGGGAAAAGGGGGGGTGATGGAATGGGGGAATGGGGATGGGGGAATAGGGGGAAACAGGAGGCAGGGGGAATGAGGGGCAGGAGGGAATGGGGGAGAAATGGGGCAGGGGAAATGGGGGAAAGGCATGGCTACATTCCAATAAGATGATTTACAAAACAGCACAGTGTCTTGCCACACGGGCAGTCTTTAAATGTCTTGGTGTCCCTAGGCCCCTTCCTAAGCAAGCCACCTCTCCGTACTGTGACTCCCTCAATACCTATGGGCTTCCTCCACAGCCAGGTTCCCACCCCCACCCATCCATCCACACCCCCACCCATCCACCCACCCAGCCATCATCCATCCAGGGGGAAATAGGGGGACAAGGGGGGAAGGAGAGAATGGGGGGGAAGGAGAGAATGGGGGGGAAGGGGGAACCTACCCCACCCTCTCCACCTAGGGCTTTCCCGCTTGGCTTGAGCCCCACTGCAGGCACTGGACCCAATACCCGGGACACTGGATGTCCTCACCTTGTCAACTTCTGAGGGTTCCCGGAAGGTACAGTTCTCACCCAAGGCCTCTCCCAGGATGTTCACTAGGGAGCTGACTCCAGGCAGCTGCCCGCAGGGCCCATCCAGAGAAGCACAGAGGTTGTGCACCAGGGCTGAGATGCCCAGGAAGGCACTGGGGCTGGCCCGTGGTGTCTGGAGCAGTGGCTGGGGACAGAAACCGGTTTCCACCCTGAGAAGGTGATAAGCGCCTTTCACAGGCCTCACCGTGGCCACACACCCACTCACCTGGGCACTTGGGAACAATGCAGAGCTGAGTCCCCTACTAAACTGGGGAGAGGGATGTTTGGGAATGTCTGGAGATACTTTGGTGTCACAAGTGGAGAGGGGAAGGGCCACTACTGGCCAGGCTCGCTGCTAAACATCCTCTAACACACAGGACCGTCCCCTCTCCCCAAATAATTATCCAACCCCAAATGTTGACAGTGCAGGGCTAGGTGACCAGTGTTCTGGCCTCTGGGTGGGGTCTGATGCTTTGTCCAGGGTTCCCTACCACGTTCCACTTGGTGTCTGCCTCCCAGGACACGTGGGATGTGCAAGAGACAAAACCTAAGTCCTCTCTTTGCAATCAACTCACAAAGCAAGCTCGCGCCAGCCTGCTCGTCTCCCATCTGCGAAGGCATGCAAGAGAGAAGCCATCTCTCCAGGGACCGGGGGATGCTCAAGAAGATGCTATCATCTCTCTGTGCACAGCAGGGACACGGAACCCAGGAGAGCTGGGCCACACCTCCAGACCCTGCCACCTGTGCCAGCCAGTGTCCTTTAAATAGCATCTCCCGCTTCCAGGCGTAGGATGAGAGGGGGCTGGGACGGCTCCCAGGACACCGTGCCCGCTACTTGTCAGTGCCCCCTGAATATCAACAACCTCAAGAACGTAGATGGAGTGTGACAGCTACATCAGTAGAGAGCGGCGAGTTCACCACTGCCCTTGTTTTTAATACCATTCATCTACTTACAATCATTTAATTTTTGAAATGGCTGCATTTAAGCCTCAGCTTACAAATCCAGCGAGGATCCTATGATGGGCCCCTTCAGAGGAACATCATGACCTTTCCTGTAGGCTAGGTGAGGTGGCTCACACCTGTAATCCCAGACATCTGGGAGGCTGAGGCAGGAGCATCACTTGAGGTCACAAGTTCAAGACCAGCCTAGCCAACATGGCAAAACCCGTCTCGACTAAAAATGCAAAAATTAGCCGGGGTCACTGGTACACACCTGTAATCCCAGACTTAGGAGGCTGAGACAGGAGAATTGCTGGAACCCAGGAAACAGGGGTTGCAGTGAGCCAAGATTGTGCCACTGCACTGCAGCCTGGGTGACGAGCAAGATTCTCTCTCTCTCAAAAAAAAAAAAAAAAAAAAGACCCTTCCTTTTTCTCTGAGCATCTGTGTCCCGTACCTCATCTTCCTGCCCTGCCCTGAAATGCAAGCTGGACCCCTTGGGTCTGGCTCCGGGAAGCAGGAGACTGCTAGGGTCCCCCCACCCAGCCCAACCAGGGTCCATCTCCTGTAGACACCAGCAGCAGCCACCAGGCCCAGGCAGAGTCCTCCCGGGGTCACTCCAGCAGCCTGACAGAGTCCACCACTCAGACGCCCAGCTACTCTCACTCCAGGGCACTGAAGGCTTCAATGAAAGGAGGGCAAACAGGAGGGGGCTCAGGACATAGCTGGCCCCTCCAGGCCCTTCAGAGTAATCAGACCAACAATTTACATTTTTTTTGGTTTTTTTTGAGACAGAGTCTTGCTCTGTCACCCAGGCTGGAGTGCAGTGGTGCCATCTCAGCTCACTGCAACCTCCACCTCCCGGATTCAAGCAATTCTCCTGCATCAGCCTCCAGAGTAGCTGGGATTACAGGCGTGCGCCACCATGCCCAGCTAATTTTTTTATTTTTAGGGATGGGGTTTCATCATGTTGGCCAGGCTGGTCTCAAACTCCTGGGCTCAAGTGATCTGCCTGCCTTAGCCTCCCGAAGTGCTGGGATTACAGGCGTGAGCCACTGAGCCTGGCCTAGACCAACAAATCTTTTTTTTTTTTTTTAAAGATGGGGTTTCACCATGATGGCCAGGCTGCTCTTGAACTCCTGACCTCAGGTGATCCACCCACCTCGGCCTCCCAAAGTGCTAGGATTACAGGTGTGAGCCACTGTGCCCGGCCAACAAATCTTAATAAACAAACTGTACTCACTACAAGCCAGATTCTGCTGATAAGATATCACACACATTGCCTTTCCTCTAATTTCCATTTTGCAAATGAGAAAGCTGAGACTCTGAAACGGTAAGGAATCTGCCTCACGTAGCCAAGCTGTAAATGGTAGAATTGAGATTTAACCCAGAAGGGTCTGGCTCCCAGGTCAGGCATGACCCCAACACTCACTGCTTCTTAAAATGAAAATTCTAGGTTCACTCCTGAAATCTGGCCCTGGGGCACTGCGTGTGAACAGTGGCCTCCGTGCTAGACCCATGCTACCCTAGAACAGAGAATGCTTGGCAGCTGTGGGGAAATAAAATCTCCATCCAGCTCTGTCCCCTGCTTTTTTTTTTTTTTTTTTTCCCCCAAGGTGGAGTCTAGCTTTTGTCACCCAGGCTGGAATACAGTGGCACGATCTCAGCTCACTGCAACCTCCATCTCCTGGGTTCAAGCGATGCTCCTGCCTCAGCCTCCTGAGTAGCTGGGATTACAGGCGCCTACCACCACACCCAGCTAATTTTTGTATCTTTAGTGGAAACAGGCTTTCACCATGTTGGCCAGGCTGGTCTCGAACTCCTGACCTCAGGTGATCTGCCCGCCTCTCAAAGTGCTAGAATTTCAGGTGTGAGCCACCACGCCCACCACGCCCGGCCTGCCCAGCTCTGTTCTTTCCTTGGCTTCATCAATCTTCACCAGTTCTGCGTGGCTGTGCTAGAATATGAACACACCGTGTGAGAGTGTGAACATGAGCATCTGTGTGTGTGCATGTTGGCGTGTGCTGTGGAATCCCAGTGCTTGTAAGTTCCCACGTGGGTGTGCAGGTGTCTCCGTGCACTCAAGAACCCTAGAACGCATGTGTTTCCTGGTGGAGACCTGTGCACACGAGTCCCTACATGGGCATCTCATGTGTGTCCCAGTGGGTGTGTGCACACGCCCACATGTCCAGGTGTGTGCGGGTACTGTGTGTGCCCACACCCAGCCCAGTGTGTCATGGTGTGCCCATGCATGTGTCCAGGTGTGGGTGGCTGTCTTCACATGTCCCATTATGTGAGTGTCCTGCTGTGTGTACACACATATCCTGCCATGTGTTCACGTGTGCACACATTAGGGTAACTACAGCTCCAGGTATGAGTCTTGGCATGTATGCCTCAACGGGGGTGTGTGTGTGTGTGTGTGTGTGTGTGTTGACAGGTCTATGGTATGGGTGTGTGTCCCTACAGTCCCCCATGTGGATGTCCTGGGAGAGCCTGCCTTGGTGCAAGCCTGCATCAGTGTGTGTCTGTGCGTGTACATATGATGCAACATGTGTGTGTATGACCCTGTGTGTTTGTGTCCCTGAGCCTGTGCCAATATGTATACAGGTCTGTGTGTGTACACATGACCCAGTGTGTATATGTCCCTGTGTGTCCCTGCGCCTCGGTGTAACCCTATGTCTGTGTTCAGGTCTGTGTGTGGACACATAATCCAGCATGTGTGTGTATGTCCCTGTGTGTCTGCGTGTCCGTGTGCCTCAGTGTGAGCCTCCATCAGTGTGTGTAGGGGTCTCTGTGTGAACACATGATCCAGCATGTCTGTGCATGTCCCTGTGTGTTTATGTGTCCCTGCGCCTCAGTGTGAACCTTCATCAGTGTATGTGGGTCTGTGTACACACGATCCAGCATGTGTGTGCATGTCCCTGTGTGTTTTTGTGTCCCTGTGCCTTGGTGTGAGCCTGTGTCTGTGTGTGTGCAGCTCTGTTCATGTACACATGATCCAGTGTGTGTGTGCACATACTGCTGCCTCAGTGAGTGCCTGCTTCAGTGTGTGTGGGTCGTGTCCTGTGTGTGTACACGTGCACTTAGGATGCACGTGTGGGAGTCACGGCGTGTGCATCTCACTACATGTTTTCCTTGTGAAAGGACAGGAGTGTGTATCCTGGAAAACACACATTCAATGCTTCCCTATATTTGGGAAAAGAAAACAAAGCTCTCTGTTTTCCTAACACGGGGCAGGGCAAATGGGCTTGGCTGGGAGGGCAGGGGTTATAAAAAGACTGAGACAGGCTGGGGCACGTGGGAGGGGCCGCCTGCTGCACCCAAGAAAGGCAGCGGGGGTGCGGACAGGGCAGGCTCAGGCCTGTCCCAGACCAAAGCTGGAGCCAGAAGCCTGGTCAGGCCCTGCAGGGCTGCGGGGCAGGCTGGTGCCTCTTGGCTGGCAGAGAGCCCAGATCTGCGAGCCACTTCCGGTGGCCCCGCCAGGACAGCTGGGCCAGCAGGACGCCTGGGTGCTGACAGCAGGCCCGGCAGTAATGACCCAGTCGGTTCTGTGTACAGCTGCCCTGGGGATGAGCCCAGAATGGCCAGCCTTCCCTGTTTTCACAAAAACCAGAAAGCACATTGCAAAAAGAATGGATAATTTTGAAAAGGAAAAATGCATTTTAAAAGAGGAATAAAAAGGGAGGGAGGAGAAAAAAGCCCATCTTAATGCAAAAATCTCTGACTTAAAAAGACTTACAGTTAAAGGTCTGTTTAAAATAATCACCTTTTTTTATTTTTGTTTTATTTATGTATTTATTTTTTTGAGACAAAGTCTTGCTCTGTCATGATCTTGGCTCACTGTAACCTCCGCCTCCTGGGTTCGAGCAATTTTCAGCCTCAGCCTCCCAAGTAGCTGGGATTACAGGCGCCCGCCGCCACGCCCAGCTAATTTTTGTTTTTTTTTTTTTTTTAGTAGAGACAGGGTTTTACCATGTTAGGCTGGTCTCGAACTCCTGACCTCGTGATCCACCTGCCTCAGTCTCCCCAAGTGCTGGGATTACAAGTGTGAGCCACTGAGCCCGGCTCTTTTTCATTTTTAAAGACGGCAAAATAAAATTATCCTCAAACCCGCGACTCTTATTGAACCGATTTCACCTTTCCAACATGATTCTAAAGCTCAGACATCATACCCCAAACCAGCCCTCCCCGGAAAGGTAAGAAAACATCTGGGGAAAGAAAAGACAGGAAGTGTCAGGACCTGGGAGAGATGAAGCACGAGTCCAGGAAGCTGGACTTCACCAACATGAACAGCTTTTGTTCATCAAAAGACACCATCAAGAAGCCTGGGCACAGTGGCTCATGCCTATAATCCCAACACTTTGGGAGGCTGAGGCAGGCAGATCACATGAGGTCAGGAGTTCGAAACCAGCTTGGCCGACGTGGTAAAACCTGGTCTCCACTAAAAATACAAAAATTATCCGGGTGTGGTGGCATGCACCTGTAATCCCAGCTACTGGGGAGGCTGAGGCAGGGAGACTCACTTGAACCCAGGATGTGGAGGTTGCAGCGAGCCAAGATTGCGCCATTGTACTCCAGCCTGGGCAAAAGAGTGAGACCCGGTCTCATAAATAAATAATTAAATGTATTCTGAAATTAAAAGTTCACTAAAATACTCTCTCTTTCCCTGCTTGCCCCTCACTCCTCACTCCCCCTCCCTACACCCCTTCGTCCCAGGCTGCATGAAGACAGCTCACATCCCCAGAACCTGCCACAGCTCAGGCAGAGCCTTGCTGACCGGATGACAGAACAAGAAAATATGGCCCAGGGAGGCATGAGCTCTGGCCTGCAGGTGGAACGTCGCTTGTGAGGCAGGTAGAGGAAGCTTCCAGGCTCCATGAGCCAACGGACGCCACCTCCTTGGCTCCGGGCTGTGTCCCAGACTAATGTCAACAGCCATCTCCCTCCGAACACACCACGCAACTCACTTGGTCTGCAAGATCATCCTACAAAATAGTTCCATTGCACAGATGGGGAAAATTGAGGCCTGGGACAGTAAAGTGCCTTGGCCAAGGTCCTGCTGGTGAGGGACAGGGTTGGGATCTGAAACCGGGAAGTCCAGATGGGTTTGTGCTTTCAGTTACTGCATATATGTGGAACAAATGTACAAATAATCCGGTGGGGGGGGGGGAGTAAGAGAGAACAGGGATGGGAGAGGGGAGAAGGAAAGACAAAAGGGGGATGGGAAAGGAGAGGGGGAAGAGGAAGGAGGGGTGGGAGAGGGGATGGGGGAATGGGGGGAAGTAGACAGATGTTTCCAGGGAGACTGGCTAAGCCCAGCGCAGGTCTTGGGTGGTTGTGGCACGCCTGGTGGCCAGCAAGTCACCTGCTAGGCTATCAACTGTGGGTGATGCCTCTTGGGGCCCAACATGGGCCTGGTTCCAAGTCAGTGCCTGATTCTTGTCTGCTGAGCGGAGCCAACCACACAGACTGCCTGGCACAGCCCCACCCCAAACCCTGGGGTCAGGGGCAGAAGGCAAAGGCTCCCTCTATTCTGCCCGGAGGGACAGCCAGGGCCCGACCAGCTCCAAGACCTCACAGATCATGCTGGGGCCTATTCAACCAATGTAGGGGTCTCTGATGCCCCGGGGACCCCACGGCCCTGCTCCAGCTGTGTCTTCGCTCTCGCTCCCCACCCACGTCCTCTGACTCACTATCAGCTGGGACAAGGTGAGGAGTGACAGGTGACACCCCCCAGCCCAGGCAAGTCAGGACACACTCCAAGGTCTCAGGTCAGAATCTCAGTGAAAGGCAGAGCAGCTGCAATCCCTTGGGGAAACTGCCCTACCTCTTTGGGCCTCCGTTTTCTCAAATGCAAAACGGGGTTGATAAGACCACCTACTGCAGTAGGGACATCTCAAGGATTAAACGAGACCTCCATGTATGGGCAGAAATTACCGACCTCATCTCACACAGATTTCCTAATCTCTAGACCCATTAAGTATGTGTTTATAACAATAGTGGCAGCTGTAATTTCAAGTGCTCAGATTTCGTGCCTGACACCAGGAGAACCACTTCACACACAGCATTTCATTCCTCACTATGAGCCCAGCATAGAGGTATGACTTCCATCCTCCTTTTAGAGATCAGAAAACAGCCAGGTGTGGTGGCTCACGTCTGTAATCCCAGCACTTTGGGAGGCTGACGGCAGATCACTTGAGGTCAGGAGTTCAAGACCAGCCTGGCCAAGAATCCCGTCTCTACTAAAAAATAAATTAGCCGGGCGTGGTGGTGGGCACCTGTAGTCCCAGCTGCACTGGAGGCTGAGGCAGGAGAATCACCTGAATCTGGGAGGCAGAGGTTGCAGTGAGCCGAGATTGTCCCACTGCACTCCAGCCTGGGTGACAGAGCAAGACCCCG